AAAAATAGACACTGGAGCCAAATATTTCTCACCAATGACGTGCACGTCATAAGAGAGTGGACACACAAGCTTAATGTCCCGCTGGCTGGTGGGCAGCATCCGGTGCTTTGGAGAAACAGGAAGTGTGTGTGTGTCTTTATAACAAGCTCTCTAAGGGAGGCAGGATTACAGTGAGGTGTTTTAGCTTTTGATCTTTTACCAGCTGCAAGTGTTGCCATTTGCAACACTCTGACTGGAAAAGTTGCTCAGTATGAGTTCTGTAAATGTTTTCATCATCTACTTCTCTGTTCTGGTTATAAATTACTGCATTTTCCTCTTTGTCAGCAGATTAATAATAACAACATCCCCCTTTTGGCACACGCCACATGATGTAAACTGAATTGCAATTGTGAACACATATGGTATGCATCCACACATATAGACTGAGGAGTCAGCCCCAGCAAGATCACCCAACCTCCACTAGTCATTGTGTTGTTTTTTTTCCCCCACTCTCATCAACTCTTTCTTTCTCTAAATCAACTCCGGGCGAACATACATTGTAAGAAACAGGACTGGAACTTTAAAACACAAAAATGCAAAGCTCCAGCAAGAGAAGAGTACAGGCTTGCGGATTTACGATGGCTTCCAAGGGGAGGAAACCCTGTTAAAAAAGGGGGATTGTTTTACTGCCATTTGACACATAATCTCAAGCAGTACATGCAGAGCACAGGACTCTGAGCTGCAGAGCACTCTGTGTCTGGAAAAGATAGAGACAGAGAGATGGTTTTGCTTCAGCATTCCAGGCAGGAATGGTTTATTTTTGTTGGAAACATAATTGTCTGTGGCCAGGATTTGGAAGCACATTTTACCCGCCAAACTGTCAGAAAGTGCACATGTGGGTGTGACCGCCCTCTTGTGGTGACCTAACGTATTTGCTTTTTCACAACACAGAGGAACACGGAGTAAACTTGGACGGGAGATATGTTTTCCTATTCCAGGGTGTTAACACAGTGCAAATGTGCTGTGCTGTCATGAGGTCTGATTTCATACACAAGTACACAATGGAATTAAACACTACTTCTCATGCAACTACAACACAGTAGGAAAGAAATAAATGAGGGAAAGAAAGAGAGAAAGAAATTCCCTGGAGTGTTGTTTGTATCTGTTGCTGATGTTTTGGCTTGCAAAACTTATTTAGGATATACAGAATGTAACAGTAAAAACATGTGGGGAGGCATATTTTTTAACTTTGGAGATATTTCCATATTTCAAGTTTTAATAGAAATTTGATTTTTATCAGTCTTCTTATCTAACTCTCGAAAAGAAACAAAATAAGCTTATTTAGTGTTGAACTATTCCTTAGTTAGTGTATATGTTAAAAAACACACATAATGTTCAAATGTGCGTTCATAAGACTTCCATAAGAGTTTTTGTGTTTTGCTGTTAAAAGAAGTTTAGGATTTACAAAGGTTTATTTACATCAGTTAAGAAGTAAGTGTTTAATGTTTGTTTGTGAATATGAGATCCCATATATATACACATGTGACATTAAGGGTGATATTTTGATTTCACCCTGCATCAACAAGTGTGTAGGATTTAGTGGCATCTAGTAGTGTAGTTCCAGAGAGCAACTCCCCTGGACAAAGGAGAAACTACAGTAGCAATGAAACGTGTGAACAACATGAATGCCCCTATGTGCCAGTGTTTGGTTTGTCCAGGTCACTGTAGAAACATGGTGGTTCAACATGAAGGACTCCATGGCAGGCAATCCACAGCGTTTGTAGTTATAAAAGGCTTAATCTAAGGTTACAAAAACATAATAATCTATACTCAGGTGATACACTTATGAAAACATATGTATGAATATTATTTTCCATTTCTGCCAATAGATCCTCCTAAATGTTACACACTGGACCTTTAATATATAATCTCCCACCAGAAACTATCCCCTGACATTAAAAATACCTTTCTTTTTAGCACATAAGTCTTAAAAGTTTCTCAACAATTTTTTTTAAGCAAAGGGACAAATTAGGATAATTGCAAGTGTCTTTTTCTCCTTTTAAGGACACCTGTACAAATCCAGTTGAGCTAAAATGTGCTTTTCAGCAGCTATGAAAGTGTCGCTGGCTATCAGTGGCCATCAACCACCTGCAAGTTAACAGTATGGGAAAAAGTGATAAGAGCACAGATGTGCTGTGGTTTCTGCAGACCCCCAATGACATCTGATGTGGAAGAAACTATAGACTATAAGGCCAGGGGCCTTTGGGAATCCAAAACAGCCTAATAGCTAAGACTACAGCTGAAGAATAATATCTATGTAGACCAGTTGGCTAACCAGGGATCTACTTCTCAAATTAACACATTTCTGATAGAAAAACCACAAGAAATAGTAAGAAGAACAAACACAGGAGTGGCACTGCTCCCCTATAGGAATGTGTCATGGTCTTGTCCACCCTGTGAAACTGTCCAAATAGATTAAAGGGTTGCATATTGTTGGTAATAACTTAGTCAAAAGCAGTCAAAGATACTTATTTATCGTACAAAATGTGGGCCTTCTTGGTGCTCACTCTTGCCCTTACTGTTAGGGCATCGGACACCAACGAGACAGCGGTTGAAGAAAAGCTTGTTATAGCCAGAGGTAAACTGCTGGTGAGTACAGACAGAAATACTTTTAAACTTCATTTGGATACCTTTTCATGATTATAATATAAAAAAGCTTCAGGAATGAGTGACATCAGTGCAGAGTCTGAAATTAAATATAGTACACATGAGAAGAGGACAGGGGACACAGTGACAGCATTCAACAAGCAAATGGGAAAATGAGTAAGATGAGGGATAAGTGCTGTCATGTCAGTATGTATTCTGCTGAGATACGAAACCTATTTCTGGCACCTTTGATCACACAAACAACGAAGTGCACACATTGCTATTTGTCATGCTGTTTTAACAACTGTCTGTTGTCATCCCTGCAGGCTCCCAGTGTGGTCGGATGAGGCATAAAGAAAATGCCCGAGCTCCATCATTTTCTCCTGGAGCGCTGGGCTTTGTAGTATCCTTGTGTTCCTCAGGCTTTTTGGTAAGACCTGTCTTTTCCCCAAAAATCCCCAACACAGATTTTCTCATGACCTCTTTCATAAACAAAACAATGTTCCTAACAAGTTGCCAAGTCCAGTGCCAGCTCTGTGAGCTTTCCAAAACTCTTGCTCTTCCAAGTTAAAATCACGTTGAGTGAGTCTAAAAATAGCAAAACAGATGGATGTGCTTTATTCCTTCACTGCCTACCTGTTGTTTCCCTTGATCCGTTCTTTCCTGTGTAGCCACAACTTGGAATACGATTCATCGGAGGAGAAGAATCCGCGTCTGATATTCTATAACGAAAAGGACGAGGTTGTAAAGGTGAGATGTGAGTTCGGGGATCTTTTTACTCATCCGCCTTGTGATGGGGCTTATCTGGGGATTGCAAGAATGTCAAGACAGATTCATGTAGGGAAGGTTTAAGACTGCTGCATCTGATATCCCATCCTCTCTCAGATACCAAGTCAAGACTGAGTGTGTTTGAAAGACTGAGACTGAGTTACATAAAAAAACAGATGACAAGAAAAAGGGAGAAAGTATATAAATTAGGGTTTCTGACAGCCGAGCACTGAAACAGTATAGTTGGTATGAATGTTGATATGAATTTCAACAGTTTTATCTCCTGAAATTACAACTCTCCCACACACTTATATTTTTGTCAGCGTGGAAAAGCCCCTGAACCTGCATTTAGGCCAGCATAGGACAATAAAACTCCACTGAAACCAATGAATTTCTTTGGCATTCGCCTCTTCTAAGCGCACAAAGAGCCACTCATGTGATTTAAAAGTAAACTTTTTACATACTTTACTGCTTTCTTGAGGTTTTCACCTTTTATTTTCCCTTATGAAGCTTATGTAGGAGGTTTTCTTTTGTCACATTGGTTTTCATTTACTGTTTCATAATGTGGGCGCCCTTTGAGACAGTAATTTGACTTTAAACGAAGAATTATTTCGGAGGCTAAATTAAAATCTTAAATTAAAATTATTGAACAAATAAATGAAAACAAATGTGCAGGAGGAGCCTTTATATCAGCACTGACTAAACAAGTTTTCATAAAAATCCAATTTTGGTAAGCCAAACAAATGTATCAGCATAAACCTGCGTGAATCACAACACAGTGTGTGTCTGCAAACACACACTTCTCTGTACACATCTAATTTACACTGCATCACTGCTTTTAAGCCTTTAACCATGTGTCCAAATGCATGTGTGTGGGTCTGCTTGTGTGTGTCTCCTTCCCGACACGTCAGACTGTTCCTGTGAAGAAAATGAAGGCAGACGAGATTAGCAGCCTGTTAGACTCACTTGGTTTCTACAAGAGGTCCCAGAAAGGGGAAGAGGTGCCAGAGGAGTTCCAGCATTTCCCCCTGCACACCCCCAGGGACGAGCTGTGACGACACCTTGTGGTCAAACTCTGCCGCTGCACCCCAGCCACATTAATGATGAGTGGGGCCCCAGGGCCAAAACGATAAGCCAGGCACCATTCTGAGGACTCGCTGGCTGGGTGCCGCGTGCAGTGTGTTCTGTGTCACTCTGTTTATATGTTGAATTTAATAAAACAGTCAATAAATGTGTAAAACACCACAATAAATGATGGAGTGGATTGATGAATTTAATGTGCCTGATAGTAATGTAGGCTATTTATCACCTGGAATGGAATGGGATTAAAACATTGTACAGCACATAGTGCACACAGACATCTACATGGGAGAACAATAAATATACAGTATGTGTGTAGATTTATTTTTTTCTTTACTGAACATGCATTGTTTTGGTTCTAGTTTTGGTCCCATTTTATCCGTGCACAGCTTAAATAACTGCTAAATACTCTATTCAGATAAACAAAGGTACTGAGCATCCTGAATGGCCACTAACTTACTTAACAAACTGCCATGCCGCTGTCTCAGCCTAATCCTCAACCCGCCCCCCTTCACTATAATCTGATTAGCATCGGTGTCTGCCAGCGTGCGTCTGTGTGTGTCCATCTGTATCTGTGCCTTCATGCATTTGTGTACTTATGTGGTTTAAACACAACAAGGATTAGCAGTAGACGCAAGGGACACAAACACAGTTTTGGACTGTTACACTTCCTGATTCCTCTGCCTTGTCATGGTCACCAGCTCTACCCACAATGCCTGTGTTTTACTCACCTGTTCCCGAGAACCTGCAGTTGGGTCTGGCCTACATGGGAGGCTCTGTGTTCACCAACAACAGGACAGCAGACAGCGACTTCACCAGGGAGCAGGAGGACGCCTCTGGTTAGTTACTGCTTCCACAGACTGCTAAAATGTTAGATAACATTTTAGAATACATCATAATATAGTATAATGATTGCAAACATGTAACATGGGATTATGTGTAGCTGAAACTAATTTTGGTATGCTTCTCTCGACATATTGATTATATTCGTATTGAGTGATGCTATGCTTAATGTATGTTTTGGCCTTTTTAAAGATTTTTTACTTGTCTTATGTCGCTTTAAAAAGTCTTACTGGCATTGGATCTACCTTTGCAGGGCTGGTAATTGTGACATTAGAGGTTATGTCCCTTTTCTTGAGCTGTATACTTGGGTATTGTGCAAAAATATATTATTTTTGATTGTGAGTGTGTTCATAATAGTGAATCCTGCATGTGATGAATATTGTATGTAAATAGTGTTTACATAGTCTTGTTATTTGTCTTGCAGTGGTCAACGAGTTGGTTTCCCACCTTCCCCTGCAGATGCTGCTGTACTTCAACATGTTTTATTTCCCCTGCTGGTGGTTTTCTGCTGTTTTCATGTTGGAAGTAAAGGTTAGTTGGTGATTTATATTTTCATAACTAGATCCTTCATGTTTTTAGTTTTTCCTTTTAGTCTGTTCTTGGTTCAACTGACTTATACAGGAACCAGGAATTGCAAAAATGAAGTCACAAGGAGCTCATTCATTGGACAGTTTTGATGACCTGTCATGTTGTCATATGGACAAACAGTGAAATGAAAAGAAGGGTTATTCTGGTGAGCAATTCATGCTGTACTGTACTGTACTGAACTTAAAGGCTTTACCCATTAACCCAAAAATATATACTAAATCATATGAAAAAAACTTTTAGTCAGGATACTTGTTATGTGTTCAGAAGTAGTGTTAAATTAAATCCACTGCGCATCAAATAGGAATACCTTTGGGTCTGGCACCGTCTAGTGGTAGCAGCAATAAGGATCCCCTCAGATCTAACCAGGAAAATAATAGTGTGGAAGCAAGATATATAGTTGACTGCACCACTTTTCATTTGTATTATCTCATATTTCTGTAAAGCCAAACGTTATGCCATCTGAATCATTTGAAAGAATCACTTCGTTCTCTATCACTTTTATCCGTCTTTTTACGTATGTTTTGCTGCTAAATAGTACACTGTTTGAAGTCCTGTGAGCTGCAAGTAAAAAGATTTCATACCTTCCTGACATACTGACATTCCAGCTCTGCTTTATTTCCAGTTCTATTATCTTCCCGGGTACTACCAGGCTCTGCTCATAACTGGGATGATCCTCCTCACAGTCATTGAAGTGGTCCGACTTTATCTGGGCTACATTGGCAACCTTAAAGAAAAGGTAATTCAAACCAACATCTTCTCTGAAGCACAACACAGAGCTCTTTTATGGACCCGTCTCCTGAATAACATAGAGGAGGAAGTGGCTGCTTAAGTATTCTGCCTGGGTGTGTAAACAATCAGCTCTTGGCTACAACTGTCTATTGAGTTTGTGTGTTTGTGGCTGTGTGTCTGTGCTTTCATGTGGATACAACCGAAACACTTGATGCCTGACTGCTCTATCTTTGCATCGCCTCCATCCACCAACCCAAAACTTTCTCTCCCCTTCTCTCCCTGTCATCAGATGCCAGAGCTGGCAGCCTTCTGGATTCTGTCTTTCATGTTCCAGCTGCCAGTGCTGCTGTTCTTCCTGACCGATGAAGGAATTATCATCCTGCCTCTAGAGAGAGCCGTCCACTCTCTCTACCTCCTCTTCCTGCTAGCCCAGATCCTGGCCTCCTTCCTGGCACTTAGGACAATGACACGAAAGCTCACCTTGCTCTTCCATCTGCGCCAGTTTGGCAAAGTGGAGAGCTTCCACCATGCAGGGCTGAGCCCTGTCTACGGTCAGTCCTACCACCGCAGCGTGCTGCCCATGTCACCCCCCCACGAAATGTACAATTAAAGTAAAAACAAAATCAGTTCAGTTAACCTTGAATGTTTTTATATTTTCAATTTGGTGTCTAAAGAATTCTAATTTTTCATTTACATTTAAAACTGGGTGTCATTTATATATATTGTACCTGAATTGCATTCTGGTCTTTTGAGGCAAGAAGCCTTTACTATATGGCTAAAAGAAAAACTGATGCATTTTCTGGTGATATTTTAAAAAGATAAAAAATCATTTTAGCCCCTCTCGAAATGTCTGAACCTGTCAGCCAAACTGCCATGGAGCGACATGCCTTCACAGGGTAATAAAGTAAAATATGCCATCAAACAACAAAATGGGCTCAGAAATACAAGGCAGTACATTGCCAATAGCTGCTTTCATCAAAGAGTGTTAAAGGGTTTTCATTTTTTTCTGTTCTTTAATGATGATGGATGATGCAGGCTGGAGTGTTGGTGGAACAGAGTCGTTTTTGCAGAGGCAGATTCAATTGTTTGCCCATGAGACAAGATTAGGGTTTTCCTAGGTATAAAACAACCTGTTTTCCTTTTGTTTCTATAAGGAACAATGTCAGACTTGCATTCAATTGTTCCAGTTTATCTTTAAGTCGTTCCTACAGTATATAATATTACCATCACTGTTTGATAAGTGTGATGTGGGAATCAAATTCCATAAAGCTTGTAAAGTGAAAGAGTTTAAATCTAACTGCAGAAGAAATGTGTTAAATATTTATGACCACACAGTGGCAGTCAGCGACCAAAAGAGGGATGGGGAGCATTTGACAGTGCTGCAAAGTCCAATGAGAACAGATTATCATGCAGCACATGTCCTGGTCAGGAAACCCTCTGGCAGCAGAATAAAGGTTAGGCATGTCCACACTTGAATATTATTTGATAATCTATAACTCTGTGTCGTGTCTACATGGAAATCTATTGCATATTTTGTTCTCTACAACTGCCTTTCCTCTGTTTGGATATAAACTGTAGCCACTATGGATGTCACACTTGTTTTACAGCAAGCTTAAAGTCACTATTTGGTGCTCTATTATATATTTGCTGTTGAGAAACTATTTTAGAATGTGGTGCACTAACTTGTCAACAAGCTGGTTATGTGAGATACATAGTTTCTGTGATATCCCGGTCTACTTTACATTCAGGAAACAACAAGCTGCAGTGGCTGCTGCACTGTTCATGGAAAACAAAAAAAAAAAAAAAAAACATTGGAGGAGTGGAGGATGCAATATATGCTCACCACTTTATGTAGAAGTGGGTGCTCAAAAGACACCTTAAACATGAAGTCACATAGTGCTGCAAAGAAAAGAAAAGCATGAGGAGTCTATTTACTTGTCTATGTATCTATTGGTAGTCCTTAGAGTTAAAATCCGAAGACTGAAAAGGTTAAAACATGCTTACCTCCACTTAATAAGCAAAATGACACCAAACACATAAAAGGTCTCAGATGCTCAATTATAAATTATCTTGAATTTTTACCTATGTGACCTTGTGGACTGCAAGAAACTGCCACCAGTACTGATGATAAAGCAGATTGGTTTGGAGTCATTCCTGTTTTACTAGGATCCCATGATCCCAGAGTCCTTTGATCACTTGTTCTATGGCAGGGGTGTGCAACCTTCACTATCAAAAGAGACATTTTTGCCCCAAAAAATAAATAAAAAATCTGTCTGGAGCCACAAAATATATAATTTTAATTTCTGTCCACACATGAAGCAAGCAGCATTGGCAATGAAGCAAACAATTCTGTCCACATCCTATTAAATTCTCGTTTTTCTTTTGACACATTTGGTTTTTGAATTTGGAGTCCATGGCTAGCCTAGCTAACAATAGGAGATAAACAGCAGTTTACTCACAGTTTTTTAATGCAGGTATGTACCTGGTATATGTAATGCCACATTTAAATATGGAAGTTTAGTTAGTCTTTATTGTCCCAGCAGGAAATATATTTCCACTGCCTGCACTTGCAGGCACTGCACTGCTTGATTCTTTGAAAAATATGCAGACACGTACCACACATACACATTTGTTCCCCCTACATATATCTAAAAATTACATATATGCATGTACACAGACATTTATGTGAACAGAAGAGTCTGCAGACTTATACCCCCAAGGTGTTCCACTGAATGGCACAGGAGATCATTCCCATCAGTGGTCATTAAACTGTTTAACTCATTCCCACCCTGTTGCAGTATGGGCATCAGTGGACTGGGAGGATGCGAGGACTTCCTCATTGGACTTTACAATTACATTTCTGACAATCGCTGGCACAGTTCAAGACATATTTTTACATATATCAACTCTCCCTACCTGCCTACCTACCTACCTACCTACCTACCTACAGTACCTACCTACCTCCCTGCCTATCTACCTTCCTACCTACCTACAGTACCTACCTACCTACCTACCTACCTATTTAAGAGAGCCCTCCACCATTTAAAGTCCTGTACCTGTGATCAGACAAAAGTAACGTAGGATGAGTAGTGGATTCACAGGGAGGTCAGTGTCATTAGCTTTTATCAGTGCTATGCATGTAGTTACCATAAAAAGAATGTGCAGATAATGTGTGTGTGTTAATTTGGCAAGAAATAAGACAGAAGTTTAGTGTATGATTATTTCCTATTTTCTCTCCTCTTTGCGGTTTCTTCCTTAGTTAATCACCTGATTTTGTTCACCTGCCTGCACAGTTGCACCTTGTCACTCATTAGTTCTTTCAAGTTTATATATACAGGGCAGTTTTCAGTTACTAATTGTTTGTTGTCTGCCTGTGTGAAAACAGAGCTAAAGCTATATCATAATGGCAGATGTTTAGTGAAGTGCTCATGGAAAAGTCTCTTTCAACATGTTTATCCTCTTCAGTAAAGCCAAAGAGAAGACAAACACATGCAGACAAAAAGAGGAAATTCTGAGAAAGATTAGCTCTAAAGCTGAAGGCATCAGATACAGCTATGGTCCTCTCAACCTTGTTCTCATTTGCTAACAGTAATTATACCAAGGAGCCACAATTAATCGTATTGTCATGTATTAATGCTCTAAATGCTACTTGAAGCAACTTTCAATGTTTAGTCTGTTTTCTCATTTATGGTCAAGTGAAATCTAGTGCTCATATGCCCAATGAGAAATAGCAGTCTGGGTGTCAGCTCATATCTTTCTCAGAGTGACAGTATGACATGCATTCTGTATTCTAGCATTGCTTTCATGCTCCCCACTCTCCAGAGAGTACTGTATGTTCACCAGGATGCTCTGACCCATTTGGCTTCTCCTATATCTGGTTTTAAGAAGTATGAACTCTGTTAGGTGCTGAGGAGAGAGAAGATTAACCAGTTGGTGGTGGAAAAAGGAATCGAAATTCCCCATGGAGACATAGTGGTCACATCTGAATCGGCTTTTGGCACCTTTCGCCTCATCAAATTGCCTTTCTTGGGTAGAGTGTGGTGAATAATAGCCTTGGATAATCTGGGGACATAATGTTCTCTATCTCGCTAAACATATTGTTTCCCCCTCATGCTTTCTAGTATCCTTTTGAAAATGTACTCCCTGCTACTTCTGATCAAGTTTTCTTCTTCACGTCATTTTACCACAGTAAAGCAGCGTAGGTGGGCTTCGATGAGTCTGTCATCACCTTAATTATGATTGGGTGCAGCTCAGAGGTAATCACAAAATGTGACTGACGAGGCTGTCCTAAGCAGCAGCGGGAAGCAATATCCAAGACATCACAGCGACATCCTCATCCCTTATTTCAGTAATCCCTCATGGTGGCGAGCTCATGGGCCCTGCCAAGACGCTTGGAAGTGTTCCCATTCTTTTAATCTAAGATGGTTAAACAATGACTCTTAACCCTCATGAATTATTGTAGTTCAGTTTCATTCATAACCTGTGATGACAAGTTGCTAATACACACAATTATTGTTTAAAGGGTTAGTTCACTCAGTTACAAAAAAATGTTTTCTCACTTAAAGAATAAGGCTGGCGACATTTTTCTTATCATCAGTATATCCTGTGACAAGACCAAAACTGACACTAAATTCAGTATTGCCTATATAGCCAAAGTAGTAGGCAAGATATTGTATATATTAAAATTTCTTGTACCTTCATTATGAGGATCAACATGGGGACTGTAGTTTTAAGTGGTGAGTCAATCCTACATACATTGTCGTGCTGTGAATGATAAATGGGGATCAAATCTGCAGCTGAAAATACATCAATTACACTATTTACTCCTCTTTTAAGTAATTTACTAAAAGCTGCTTTAGGAAATTAGTTGTTTTTGAAGATTTGTGTCTTCAGTAGCAAGTATAATGATCTTGGGGCTGATTGCCAGGTTAGGGAACTCGTAAATAATTGAGAGAAACAAATCATTGGTTTGGATCTTTTCATGTGATTTGTTGACAGCAATAAAAGACCAGACTTATCCTTTAAAGAAACAATGACTGTAGGATTTAGTGGCATCGAGTGGTGAAGTTGTTGACCAACTGAATATCGCTTGCCTTTGTAGGAAAAACTATGGTGCCCGCAAAACACGAAAAATGTGAAAGGCCCTGAGCTACTGTAGAAGCACGGCAACAACAACAATGGGGACTTGCAGAAAGTGGACGAATCAGACCATTAACTACCTAAATCTGCTAAGCTAATAGAGAAACTCATTAAACCAGTAAGACATCCAAACTGACCAACCTCTGCAGGCCACTGTTATTCCTCCATAACCTATTTCCATTAGCAACTGAAGGAAAAGACTCCAGAGGCCTGCAGGGAGTGTCAAGCTGCGAGCCTACCACAAAATCCTCTGGGATATTGTTCAATCTTTCTTACTCATTTCCCCACATATGGCTGATAGAATAGGACCCAGCATCGGCAAAGAAATGGTAATATGATAGTTGATGGAAACACATGTATGACTCCATTATTTGATGCTATTCCTATGACCCAATTGCTTCCCCACTCAAATCAGAACAAGCGGTAGTGCCTTTTAAGGGTACAGAATACATATTGTCCAATTACTGACTCTAAATGGTATTGGGCCATGAAATTCAAATCTCATTCATAAGCCACTTATATTGTCTCCACCTTTACAGCCAGCAGGCTCGGTAGAAAATGCGACATCATACTGGCAGGAAGGGAATATTGAAACTTGGACTGAAATTTGTGGCTGGATATTTTCAATTTGGGTCTGATTACCTAGGTGAGGGGGAATGGCAGGGCAATTCACTTCTCCCGGTGGTTTAAATAGCCACTCACCATACAGTACAGATGAATATTTGATCAGGAGCGACAGTATTAAATCTGCAAAGCTTGATGACACAGGAGAATGAACTGCCTTCAGAGCAAACCACTTAAAAGCCGCTATATGGAGTTTAGTTTTTTATCATTTTGCTATAATTTGAGAGGATTTCGTAAAGACCCATTTTCATGTTACCTGAATTTGTTCTTCACATGAATGGGAGGCTTGTTTCCTTCTGGGAGCTGGAATGCTAATCTTTTGAAAGGTTCAGGCTGGGTTTGTTACCATGGTGTATACGTATGCAGGAAAAGAAAGTACAATAGACCCCTTCTCTAATGCACACTGCACAGTTTCTGAACAAAAAACTTTGACAAATTCTGTAGCTATGTTTTCACAAACTCATGACTTTAATGACGACTGAATTTTTCCAACATAAGGATTTTTGCAGGCATCTGTAATGTGAGCAAAAATCCCAAAAATGTAAATGATACAGTATATGATTTCAGTATACTAACATCAGTCAAGTATACATAAGAAACAAACTTAACTAATGTGTAACAAAATAATTTGAGATCAAAGGTCCACTTACATTGTTACACAGACTGCTTCTTCCTGTTCATCATCATCAGTCACTACTATTAGTGTAGTTGTTGCTACTGTTGTTAGCTGTGCACCTCTGTCTGTGTCTCTCTCTCTCTCTCTCTCTCTCTCTTCCTCCCCAACTGGTCGAGGCAGACGACCACCCACGCAGAGCCGAAGGATCTGTCCTCGGTTTCTGCCTTTTAAAAAGGCAGTTTTTCCTTGCCCCTATCGCCAGGTGCTTGCTCATGGTGGTACTGTTGGGTCTCTGTAAATACTGTTATAAGGAGTTCGGTCTAGACCTGCTCTATTTGAAAAGTGTCCTGAGATAACTTCTGTTATGAATTGGCGCTATACAAATAAAATTGAATTGAATTGAATTGAATTGAATTGAATTGAATTGAATTGAATTGAATTGCTTCCCAGAGGTCAGGAATGAATCGCCACAATCAAGTATGTTAACAAACCATTGTATAGCATCTTTGTCTTGGCAAAGAGGTGCTGATTTAATTTTTTTATTTCACCATTATCATTTTTGTATTAATACCTGGTTCATATCTTTCAGTTTAAGTCCAGCCTGTCATGAGACATGCCAGTCATTAATTAGGGTATTCACTTTCATCCAAAGACCTGCAAAGATTAGGCAAATTATTCCACTGTCCACTACTATTCCATGTATTAACAAAACGTTTGTTTTATGCATCATTTTTGGATCCAACTACGCAACAATAATGCCTAGACTTCATCATCAGCCCATCTGTTGTATGCTGTCTTCTGTATCTCCATGTTGATGTGTCAAAGCACAATGAACAAAAACAAACTGCTTTGCTGCTGCAGATTGTTTTTAAAATTGTGGCTGAACTAAAATAGTGAGTACTCGTCAAATCAGAAATTTTCAGTGCTGTAAGCCAAACCCCCAAAACTCCTGTGCTTGTGGAATGTATACCCCCTGAGCAGGGACTTTTTGGGGGGTTAAATCTGCGAAAAATAATTTAGTTCCTCCAAAGGTTCCTAGTCTCTGTACTCTGCAGCAGCTGGGATCCTGGCTGTTATTATTGTTTTATTTATACTGTATATGCACCCAAGACTCCCTAGAAAGTATTGATATTGTGTGGATGTTATCTTTTTGAAATACAGTGAATTGAGCTGAATTGAAAAATGTCCACATCCATCTACAGTAAGTGAGTAAGGAAACAACCAGGATTTGCTCTGTGTATTGGACCCAGTTTATACATTGTCAATCTTTATGTATAAAACATTACATCTGAGAGTATGAATGAAGAAATAAAATGCAACATGCAGTGAGAAGGGTGCACAGCCATCCCATAAATGTTCCCATGAAACAGACAAATTTTTAGGCAAAACAAGAAATCTTACCCCAGTCTGGCTACTGCTATTTTCACTGCTCAGAAAAATCTTGCCAGGACTCTTGCCAGCAAACATAGTCCTTCCATCCATCCATCCAACATTAGAAGTTGTATATGCCCCACTATTATAGATTAAATTTAACTACACTATAAAAGCCCTCCATCTGCCTGTCAAATCCTTCGGCCTTGGTGAATTCTACAAGTAGCAGTTATTGCTGTGATACAAATGAGGCCTATCTGAGACACAGCTAAATCAAAGACTAACAGTCAAGGGCACTGAATACAAGTGACAATCTGATAGATACTTTAGCTGTGGTGGATATTAGCCTGTGACTCTTCAGTCACTATTACAACAGTGTGTTTACCAAAGTGAGATATGATGCAGAAGGCAACTTTATGAAGTGCAAAAGAGTAACGCATGTTAAATGAGATCCAAAGGAATTTGCCTTAAATCAAGCAAAATACTGCAACCAAGCATTTCATCCAAAGAAACCTGGGCTTTTGTCCCTTTTGGCTTCCCTAGTCATAAAATGATCCCAGACTAGCCAGGCTGGTGGACACAAACATGCTGTAGTGAATTTAGTCACATTTAAATTATACAATTTCTTTCTAGACAGTGAATTCAAAACTGTTCTCAGTAGTCTCTGTTACACTCATTTTCAGCTTTCAGATTCAGATTTGACAGTTTGACAGTCTATATCGCAGTTTTGAAGTCATTTGCCAGTTTGTGGATTTGTCCTCCTGACCTGCTGTGAGTATCGTTCAACCTATAATTGAACAGATGACAAAAACATGGTGCTTGAGCAGGTGTGAATTACAGTTTAGCCATTTTCAGTAGGGTATCTGATGATCAAGGTGTCACTGAATGAGCAGGTGGGGGTTAACCATCTCTCTCAAGGACATTTCATCTTTCATCACTTGATACTGATCTACAGCAACCTTGACTGTCGCAGGGACAAAGCACACAATTCGTCTTTCTTATGACCTTAGAAATATAATCCCGCCCTCTACCTGGTGAGCTACCAAGGCGTCCCCAATGTATTCTTTTTCTTCTGTAAGCAGTTCATTCAGTTGTTCAGAAGATGGACAATATCCCAGTGGGTGAACCTTCATTTTGGGGGCTGGGCACAGAAATTAGGCATTTCTATATTGGCTATTTGTTTTTCTTCTATGTATCACACATCAGATTACTTTGGAAGTAAATTTTGCTGGTGTTCTATGATGGAATATGTGATGTTATGATGTGTAGGTAGGCTGATAAGGCATCACATAATCTAATTTTTACATGTCAATATATGTTGTTAATCTACGATATGGACAACTATGTTCTCAATCCTCACATTTATGTTGCATATTATGTATGAAGTTAGAAGTCTTTAATTAAATCTCCTGCCATTTGTGGCTTTTGATTATTTTTTTCTTTATTCTCAAAATAAATTTTGACGATATGAATATGAATGTAAATATGAAGGCTCATTTGGGCGCTGCTATTAAACAGCAACAGAGTTCCACTTCCAAGCTGGGATGAAGCAGTCACAGGCCCGCCAGCCGTTTGTTTCAGAAGGGACTCTGATATCCGTTTGAGGTGTGTTCTGACAAAAGTGTTAAAGCCTTTGGTCTGTGAGATTTAAGGAGGATAAGTGCAGTTACGCTAATTGATCAGTGGGATGTGAGCATGCGGTGTTTGCAAAAACACAAAAATGATAATTCATTCTGGAATAATAATTAATTCAGGAAAAATTTTACTCATTACCCACAACTCCCCAATAAGCACTCTCATGTGAACTCCATTTTATGTGTGATGTTGTGTGTTTGTGTTTTTGTCGGGGGCAGCAACAGCAGAAGCGGAAGCCCCTGAGCTTCTGAGAATTCTCCACATGCGCTTATGGGAAAACATGTTTTAACTGTGATAGTTAGCCAGATGATCGAGCTGCCTCCAAGCTGACAAACAGTTGAGGGAAAACATGGCGGAGAATGATGCCAGGCTTTTGGGAGAAAAAAAAAAAAGCCAAACTACTTTCTCAGCCTGACTGTTCTTCATGTGAAGCCCAGCACATCAAAGAGATAAAAAGCTGAGAGTTTTTGACAATCAAGATAAAGGGATAAAAAAAAAAAATGTATGATCAGAAGAGGGCACAACTTCCTTCCACATTCATCTCCACATTTTGTTATGAGATATTTATCCAAATTGCAGTAAAGATTCCAAAGTAATGGTTTGTTTACATTTTCTTTTTCAGAAATGAAGCCACATAAAGTCTGACCATGGAAATGTAAGAATAAAAAATATAAAATGTATTGATATTCATTGACTATTAACCTATTTAAAGCCTCCAGTTAATGCACCTAACCATCTCATGCATATTCTTAATGCTCTGCTTAGTATTTTCTACCCAGGGGCCACTAGTAGATTCCTGGGGAGAGAGCAGCTTCAATTCAATTAAAACTGGAAGTTCGGTGACTCCTGATCCAATCAAGCTCTTGGCTCCAGTCCATGACCATGACGTGAATGATAATGCCACTGAAGACAATTGCAGAGACAGACAGAAACATGACACACTGCAATCTGGCAGGCAGGACCGTGATGGAAATTTATAGCACTGAGATAAATTAAAAAACAGTGAGGCCGAGAATATGTCCATAAGTCATTGCGGCATGAATTCCAGATGTCTAGAGACTGCTGTGATGTTTCAGTTTGAACACACAAACGGCTGGTGAGGAAAAGAGCTTCCCCTAATGCTACGCTGTGTGCCGCACTGCTCCGTCTGATGGGGGAAAAGAAACACAGCATTAATAAGGACAATGGCACAGATGTGACTACTACTTTAGTATTTGTTTGAATCATGTGAAATGTAAACAGAAATTAAAAAACAAATAAAGGAAATAATAATAATTGACATGGGTTGATGAGAATATATTTATTAGCTATATTTATTAGAAAGCTATTTATAGAAGCAGCTTCAGAATTGAGATCATAAGACCAATAGTAAGAGAACAAGATTATTTTATAAAAGTTACTATATTTGTTGTTTATTAGAAAACGGAGATTGACACAATTTACTCTGACGATACTCATCACAGATACCTGGCACTAGAGGTGGCTAATGTAGCCTTGAGCCATTATTGTGTGCTGTGTGTTGGTGTGTGCGTGTGTGTGTGTGTGTGTTATTATTATAAGAGCAAATGTCTTCATAATTACCCTAGAAAAAGTCTTCGGTTTGTAGAAATGTATGCTGTGTTTGGGATTAGGTCTAGTGTGAGCGCGGGGTTAGGCTATAATAGGTTTTATAGCATGCCTTCACATGGCACATTTCAGCCTTTTTTAGATGTTTTGTCTCACACTTCCTGACTTTCACGCCTAACATCTTATCAATACAGCTGTCTACACGGGCCACAAAATTATATACATTTCACTCGCACTTTACCCGCCTAACCACGATTCAAAGTGTTGCAGGCAGTCATTTTATTCACATCGTCATTATAAAGTATTGTTGCATTTTGTGCTCAAGTTAAGAGAAGACATCATCTTACTCTCTTTTCAGCTGCTGGTGTGGTGTGGTCTCATTATTTGAGACACAGTAGTTTTAAGGATATAAGAGGTTGTGCAATAACAACTGTACAGTCTGAATCTGTGGAGGAAGCATACATAATACATAAAGCATTGTAACTTAGTTATCCTTCAGTACCTAGTGTGACCGCCTCCTGCAGCACAGAGCCAGTGAGCCTCTGGATCTGCAGTTATGGGATATTATCCATCCCTGCAGAGGGACCTGTCTGGGTTGATGTCCTCAGGCAGGTATGGGTCACGTCTCTAAATGTTGAGACCCAGGCTCCCTACATTTGAGGCATTACAGACTGCTCAGGAAATTGATTAACTGTGGCCCTTCTCTTGCTGTGACCTTAAGCTTTCAATTAAGAGCTTTGTAAAGGTGAAATGGTTAGGCATTTTTCCAGCTAGATCTCATTAGGCACAAGAGCACCTTTCAGCCTTTAGTGTGAATGGAAAGTTACAATAGATCATGCACAAGCACTGTTGCCAGGGTTTACAATGACTTTAACGTCCAGTTGCTTCTGCGACAGCAACCCTAATCTGAAATCTACTGTTTTTACGGATTTTGACTGATACTCACTTATCATGTTAATGAATACAAACAATAATAATAACAACATTAACATTGTGTAGTTTTATGCATAGTAAAAACACCTGATTTGTGAAGCTGTGTAAAGACTTTAACAAACTGGAACTATAGTGGGTGGGTACAGGCTCTTGAATTCGGTTTGGTGCACCTCTTATCTGGGGCAGCTTTCACGTTTGAGACTTTTTAGAAGCTGGAGAACTTCACACACAATACTTCTTAATTAATGAATACGTCTTAATTTTTTCCTGCCAGAATAGCCAAAGTACAGTATCATGGCTGTGGAGCCTTTATAGACGGATACACACAACACTGCCCTTTAGCATCACTATGCAGTATTTTACCTGACTCACTTAGTTAAAATTGAGTTAAATACTGAACTAACAGACATAAATCAGGTTAATAAAAATACAAAACCCAATTCATTCACAATATTGTCATTAAAGGCTGTTAAAATGTATTCAAAGGTGACAAGTTCTCAGAGCCCATCAGCATTAGTAGTCTTCAGGGCTTAAACTGGACAATTCATAGGAAATCTAGAAAATGTGTATTTCTGTCAGTAAAAAGGATACTAAGCAAACCAACACACTGTGTTCCAATGTAATACTTAATTAACAAATAATCATATTTATCAATTTATAGACACACAAAAAGTGTTAATTGGACTTCATAGTTGCTTCTCCTGACCTCTGAGTAACAGCACTGCTCATAACGTGGGTAATTGCTTCCTGCTGTCTGAAGGAGCAAAGTCAGAAAATGTCTACAGGACATTTCTTGTTTGTTTCTGTTTTGTTTGTTTTGTTTGTTTTTTTTACCCACTCATTAGTTATAGAGTAGTATGAAGTGAACTCGTGTACCCTCAGCAGATTTGCATCTAACTTAAACCTGCCAACCTGAGCAAAGGTCTAAATAGCTATAATAACTAACTCCTGTGTGGGTGTCCAGAGCCATTCAATTGTTTTTTTTTTTTGTAATCACAAAATTTCTCATGTATGATCCTACTGCAAACCATTCACTAAAGAGCAGTCAGATTGCAGCTGAAAAATAAAAACACTAAAGCTCTTTCTCGTCAACAAAGAACACACACTCAAAAAAATAAAACCATAAATAAATAAACAATAATAAAAGAAAATACAACTTGAAACTGCTGGCAGCTGCAGCTGGCCCAACATCAGCAGCGAGCGCTCCATCTGCTCCCATCAAGTCCAGCACTGATGGCATCAAATAGGTCCCCAGATCCTCACTCACATAAGCAAACTGGCCTTGACCCAGGGTCGGCTTGAATGACATCTCTTCCTGGCAGGAAATATAACATTGTTTGATTTTCTGGAAGTCTGATGATTACTCTTCATCTCCTGAGCTGTGAACGTGCTTGACGGGGCATAGGGTTGTGAGGGGGCGGCAGCCTAAGCTGGACAGACATGTTGTTCCAGTGATATTTAGGGGTGAAGTGGCTGGAGATGAGCAGTTTTACTGTTTAGCAGTGTCGAAGCTTTAGAATTTGTTTGTTATGCAGTTTTTGTGGACTTACTAAAAATGCTGATGTTCTTGTATTTTTAGTTGAAAATCTGTGTCCCCTTTCATGGTCAGGAGCAAATATTCCAAAAAAGACATTAAGAAAAAGACACGGAATTTGAGGCCATTTTGTTCAGTTGTCAAATTTGACCAAGTCAATTGCAGGTTATTTTTTGTCTAGGGTTATGCTTGGGGTTTAGGGTTAAGGGTTTGCATACATTTTCAAGATTTTTATTATTTTTTTATTTTTATTTTGCCATTTCGCTTTATTCGATAGGATAGAGAGAGAGAGAGAGGAAAGGCAGGGGAGAGAGAGGATGACATGCAATAAATGGCCAGTTACCACTGCAGTAATGACCCAGCCTTGACACATGGTACACACTCTACAAGGTGAGCTACCAGGGCATCATTTGTAATAAGGCATATAGAATTAGGGTTGATTTTTAGATTTTTATCAGACATAGGATTAAGTGTCTAGAGAAGCATGAATCCACAATAACATTATGCCCAATGATTTATCTCAATGTGAAGGTTAATATCAAAAACTCAAAACAAATGTTAAGGTTGTGACTAAAAGCAAAGAGAAGTTTTGCCTTATGTCATTTGAGAAAATTTGACAGCTGAACCATGCAGTCCATGTTTATGCCTCCCAACCGATATACTGATTGTACAAGCTTTAGCTGTAAGCTAGAAGCAGGGGGTGTGCCTGTGTGCCTGTGTGCCCGTGTGTTTGTGTTCAGCTCAGCATCTGACTGATCTTTCTGTCATTTCCCTCTAGCCTCTCGCCTTTTCCCTCTCATCTCTGAACGTTTATGAAGCAGGTTCATAAAGCCTCGGGATTAGCATGTTTTTTCTTTGCTCAGGTTGAAACATTTTGAATGCACACACAAGGCTTTCCCCTCCAATTTCGGAGAATTTGTGTTTTATCGTGCGCCTTGAAAATTCTTGCTGAACAGAGTTAGACAGTGTTTGTGTGCAGATGTATTAAATATTTGCCTTGAGTTTTATATTTAACTCAGACAGACTGGTTTATTGGAAGAAAATGTTTTCCCTCGTCACTGGGTCAGGCAGGATTAAATGGCTAATCAACAAAGCATGATCAGCCCATAGTGCAACAACTGTGCCTTTGCTGACGTCCAACTTTTTTCAGCATTGTTTCAAGCCACTGCTGCATTTTTGTGCACAAGCCCACAGAGGAAGTGTTTGGCAGAACTGTCTCATGCTTCTCTCCTTCTAACTTTTGGCTGATGTAAGAACAGTTTTGTGACTGTGGGACAAAGTGTAGCGAAAGTGGAACTATTTTACCGAGATGTGTATTCATCGGTGGCCCATAATAACTTGGGTCAATTCAATTTTTTGTTGTTCTCTGCACCTTATGTGTACTCTTATTTACAGTGGATAATATAATGACTTGAAAACGCTCATTTAAACAATTTAAACTCTGTCCTCGCTCAAATTTAAGACCGAAAGAATAAATTATTAATAAGCTCAGATCCCGGTTTTCATTTATGGAGGCTAAACAGGCTCATCAGTAATGGATGAGAGATGTCTCCATTTTTCTGCCGCTGCTGTGAGAACCAGTCCTTTTAATCATTCGCTCTCCATGGGAAATCATAGTGTGGCCTGATGTGACTGCTAATGTCCCCGTTAAAAACAATGTGATCTGTTGCTGCAATATGCACAGATACAAATTACAGTGTTGTTTGGGAAAGCTTGCTGCATATATAGATTAACAAACCAGTTATCTGTATGCAGGCTGGGCAGCCCAAATTGATGGTGATTGGCGAACACTACAGACAGGTCCTTGATGACTAAAGTTGGATAGCACAAATGTGTTTAGCACCTTATTGGGAAATGATAATGATCTGTTGTGCACAGATGCACAGGTGAGCAAGGAGGATTGGA